AGGAGTCAGTACAATTTTTTTGTCGATTACTTGAGTCAGTATGCATCAAAGGGAATTTCACAACAGCATCCCAATCAACACTTATTATCAAAAAATGCAATGTGACGGAATTTCTCGGTGCCACCTTTTCTCCGTATCGTATATAGGCGAGTCGGGTTCTATGGAAATTGGATCAGCCTTTAGTCCTGCATTGAATGCTAACAGACTATTATCGAAAATTCCGACTTTAAGCACCATATGCTTTCTGATTGTTAGAACTCAGGGTGAAGATCATATAATTTAAACAGTTCCTTATAGTCTCAATGGTTTTGCGGAATCGTTTTACTTCCTAGGTCAAAGGAGTAGATCTTATCTAAATCAATGTTTGATCGGGAGGACACAAAATTACAAAATTACCATTTGCAAGCATAAATTTACAATAACATGGATAGCACTACTTTGGATAAAAGCTCAAAGCTGTGAGACTCCCTCAGAGAGAACTGAGAGTTTCCGTGTAGTAGAAATTCGTGAAAGAACTTACGCGATCTTGCCTTTACAGACACCAATCACTCCTGGAAATAAAGCGATGCCAGACAACATTTTCACATTAATCTTGGCAAAAATATAGAGAACAAAAAACTGTTGAGAAGAAGGAGATCTGATTCTTGTCAATACAAAATACAAATGTTGACCTCAGATGACTCTAAATTGAGTCCTCTGAAATGACCCAGACAGATTAACATTAAAAATATCAATCTTTGAAGGTGATATCTATTGCTAGGGGATTCAAACACAATCAATTTAGTAAATATTTGCAATTTATCCTGATGGTATCTAGAAAAGTACTAGAAAAGTTATGTTTCTTCGTGAAATTTACATGAAGACGAAATATAATGGATAGGAAAAATAACTGCAAGGAAAGACTTACATTTGACCCTTAACAACAGGGTCATTGGGGCATACCTGTACCTTCAACACACTTAGTATAATAGGCCAAAAATGTCCTTTTAGGGGAGGGGAAAAGGTAGGATGGCCGCGGTGAGTGGATGAACATAATGTGAGATCAAGCTTACTTAACCTTTGACCCTGGTAGTTGCATGGTAACCAGTCCATGTTTGAGAGATTGACAGAGAAACTGCATTATCCGAATCGGTGCATGCTAAATGGGGCTTTTGCACACATGGTT